GAACTTTTTATTTTTTTAAGAAATAATCTGTAGCTTCCAGGTCGACATTGTCTTAAACAGGTACCAGGTAAAGTCCTGGGAAATAAAGGCGGTGATTTTGACTTCACCCACCAAGTGCCGATTTGTGTATTTAAAAAAAAATAGATATCGCCCTATATGTCAAATAGGCATGAAAGCATGGACAAGGGTTTCTTCCCTTTTACTTGACTGTCTAGTTAGTCCTGCGTTGAAGTAGGCGGTGTCTAGCGGGTCATGCTTCAAAGTACAGAGTGTCTAGTTAACCATGCGTCAAGGTAGTACAAGGCGGTCAAGTTTGTCATGTGTCAAGTACAGAGTGTCTAGTTAACCACGCGTCAAGGTAGTACAAGGCGGTCAAGTTTGTCATGTGTCAAGTACAGAGTGTCAAGCTGGACAGGCATCGAAGAATATAATGTCTACATTGTCATGTGTCAAAGTGTGTGGTATCTACATTGTCATGTGTCAAAGTGTGTGGTATCTACATTGTCATGTGTCAAAGTGTGTAGTATCTACATTGTCATGTGTCAAAGTGTGTAGTATCTACATTGTCATGTGTCAAAGTGTGTAGTATCTACATTGTCATGTGTCAAAGTGTGTGGTATCTACATTGTCATGTGTCAAAGTGTGTAGTATCTACATTGTCATGTGTCAAAGTGTGTAGTATCTACATTGTCATGTGTCAAAGTGTGTGGTATCTACATTGTCATGTGTCAAAGTGTGTAGTATCTACATTGTCATGTGTCAAAGTGTGTGGTATCTACTTTGTCATGTGTCAAAGTGTGTGGTATCTACTTTGTCATGTGTCAAAGTGTGTGGTATCTACTTTGTCATGTGTCAAAGTGTGTGGTATCTACTTTGTCATTTGTCAAAGTGTGTGGTATCTACTTTGTCATGTGTCAAAGTGTGTGGTGTCTACATTGTCATGTGTCAAAGTGTGTGGTATCTACTTTGTCATGTGTCAAAGTGTGTGGTATCTACTTTGTCATGTGTCAAAGTGTGTGGTATCTACTTTGTCATGTGTCAAAGTGTATTGTATATACTTTGGCAGGTGTGAAAGTGTATGGTATATACTTTGTCATGTGTCAATGTGTGTGATATCTACTTTGTCATGTGTCAAAGAACATAGTGTCTAGTTGGCCATATGTCGAAGTACTTCCAGTATCGCCAGGACTCGGGAATAGTGTGGGAAGTAAAGAAGGCCAACGTGATGTTGATGAAATAACCCATCTAATGCCCATTCAAGTGTGTAAAAACATGACTTTAACACAAGAAGCTTGACTCCCTAGTGGTTTAACAAGAGTTCTTTACTAATGACACACTGCACGACAGCTGTTGCAGATCATGCACGCATTCGGTCATCAATACAATGCTATCTCCATAACCTTGATTGCCGATATTACAAACACTCCCTAATCGAGATCTATCTTTGATCTCCACTTATTATTCCTATATAAAGGAATCGATCTACATTCGCTGGGAGAAGGCAAAAACTTGGGTCCTTTGTGACAGCGGGAAAGTTGGAGAGGTGATACAAAAAGAAGAGGACGACAAAAGAATACGTCAGACAACTTTTCATCGTGTATTGGAAGACAGTATTATTAGAAATTGATCAGAAAGTGATTAGAAAAGTGAGAAAACTTTTTGCCGGTTTGGCATTTGATTTTTCTGCGAGAGTGTCACTTGAAGTTTAAAAAAAAAAAGCATAAAGTGTGTGTCAGTTTTACAAACCCAGTTACAACAAAAACAGAGAAAGTTGCAGAGATAATCCTTTATCAGCAAAACAAACACAATAAGCAAAACACAACACACATACACATATACACACACATACACTCACACATGCACACAAATATACGGATTGTGAGTTGAACTGACTCTAGAACCGGCATCACAGTACCCCAGGCATTCCCATAAACGATCCGTCCCATCTTCAGCAGCCAGCGCAGAGTTCCAATACGAATGGTGCCAGCAGCATTCTGATTAGCCCAGTGGTTGGCTAACACTTTAGTGCAAAAAGATGTTTTTTGTTTTTGTTTTGGAGAGCCAAATGTCTTTTCAGGAACCTGTCAAGAACCATGTTTTTTAGGAGTCAAAACCAATTTGAGGCCGACTGACCGAGCCACACTTAGGTTGCTATAAAGCCACATACGGCCCGCGTGCCGCGATTTTCCGACCACTGTTCTAGCCTTTCTTCCGAGCAACGCTTATCGGCCAGAACTTCCCCCCACCCCCCCCCCCCCCCCCCCCCGGCTGCATCACTCTCACCAGTCTGTGGTGATCCATTTGCTCCTCCTAACTATACACTTTCTCCCGCAAGGCCCTAACCACGTCCGCCTTATCAAGCATCAATATTCCATCAAGTTGTGCACAGCCAGCCAGTCTGTCCGTCTGTTCATTTCTCAACACACCGGCATAGGAGAAAAGATCCAGACAATACTCCTCACTAGTGACCTCCGAAGCGAAGCATGCCACTATGCACGAA